CCCACAGGTACATGAAGAGATGCTCAACATAACTAATCATCAGGGAAATGCAAATCAAAATTATACTGAAATACCATCTCAAACCTGTTAAAACGGCTATTATCCAAAAGACAAGAAGTATAATAATAAGTATGGATGAGGTTATGGAGAAAAGGGAACACTTGTGCACTCTTGGTGAGAATGTAAATTAGTGCAGCCACTATGGAAAACAGCATAGAGGTTCCTCAAAAAATAAAAGTTAAACTACCATATAATCAGGCAATTTCACTTCTGGGTATATATCTGAAGAAAACAAAAACGCTAACTTGAAAAGATATATGCACCAACATGTTCACAGCAGCATTATTTTAGAAAGTCAAGATATGGAGGTGAATGGATAAAGAATATATAGATGAATGGATGAATGGATAAAGAATATATATACACACAATAGAATATTATCAGTCATAAAAAGAATGAAATCTTGCCATTTGCAACAACATGGATGGACCTTGAGAGCATTAGGCTAAGTGAAATAAATGAGACAGAGAAAGACAAATACCCTATGATATCATTTATATGTAGAATTTAAAATAAAAAGAATCTTAAACAACAAAAACTAAGCATATAGATACAGACTACAGATTGGTAGTTGCCAGAGGCAGGGGGTGGAGGGTGGGAGAAATTAATAAAGATATAATTTATAGCATGGTGACTATAGTTGATGATACGTATTGTGTATTTGAAAGTTGCTAAACAAGTGGATCTTAGAAGTCTTCATCACAAGAAAAAAATTTACAACTATGAACAGTGATGGATGTTAACTAGACTTATTGTGGTGATCACTTCACAATATATACAAATATCGAATCACGCTGTACATCTGAAAATGTTATATGTCAATTATACCTCAATCTATAAAAAAGAGACAATTTCACTCATTCTTCAGTCCCTTGATAGCTCTAAGAGGAAGTATCAATTTCCCTATGTCTGCAATGACTCTGTGTGGTAGCACAGTGTCCAGGAGAAAGAAGCTGGGAAAGTTATTAGACCTAGGCGGTAAGTTCCACAGTTTGTTCAGACCTCACAGGACATTTTCCTGTCACTCTAATGAAGGTTAATATTCAGAGATTGCCTAATTTCTAAGATCAAAAGGCAAAAGAGAGGGAAAGGGCATATCCATAATTGTTTACATTAGAAGTTAAAAAGAGAAATTACTCTTAAGTGAAGTGATTTTTCATATCTTCATTTTGACTGAATTCAAATAGATCTTTGGGCCAACTTAGCCATCACAGTTATGATTGCCACTGCCCCTTACCCCACCCATCTTGTCTGAAACCCTTGAAAAGAAAATAACATAGGTTGAGTTCAATGAGTAATTTCAATTAGTCTTTCATTTCTAAAGAGAATTGAGGTATAAATATGTACACCAAACTGCATATGAAGTGTACAGTACAGATGATATTTGACATATGCATAAACACAAAAAACTATCACCAAAAATAGAGATCGTAAAACTATACATCACCCCCAAAATCTTCCAGGCAATCCCTCCTTGGCAATGCTTCTCTTCTATTCCTCCCTACCAAACTAGGCAATCATTGACTAATTTTCTATCATTATAGATTTGTTTGCATTTTCTGGCATTCTATATAAGTAAAATCATGATTACATACTCTCGCTTATCTGGCTTCTTTCACTCACTGTGATTATTTTGAGATTCATCCTGTTGCAGGCTGTATCATCATCAGTCCACTCATATTTACTGGTCAGTAGTACATTGCATTATTACATATTATGGACATATTACATATTATGGATATACCATAATTTTCACATTCACCAGTTGATGGACATTTGGGTTCATTCCAGTTTTTCCTAGTAAAAATAAAATGGCTATGAATATTCATGTACAAGTCTCTGTATAGATATATGCATTTTTTTTTCGCTTGGGTAAGTACCTAGGAATGGAATGTCTGGGACAAATTGTGGGCATATGTTAATCTTCTTAGGAAACTACCAAGATAACATTCAAAGTGGCCCTACTGTACCATTTTTAAATTTACCAATTTAAAACTATGCCAATTTAAAAATTAACATCAGCAATATATGAGAATTCCAGCTTCTGTGCAACTTTTTCAGCAGTCAATATAGTCATTCTTTTTAATCCCTGCCATTCAAATAGTTATGTGGTAATATGTCACTGAGCTTTTGGGTTACATTTCCCTAAAAATTAATGTTTACATGCATCTTTTCACAGTCTTATTTCCTATCTGTATATCTGCTTTAATGAATTATCTTTTCTAATCTTTTGTCCATATTTTTAAAAATTGGGTTATTTTCTTAATATTATAAGAATACAAGTCCTTTATCAGATATAAATTTTGAAAATATTTTTATTAGGCTGTGGCTTTTCATTCATGTAATAGTGTCTTTTGAAGAGCAGAGGCTTTATAATTTTGACAAAGTCCAGTTTCTAACTTATTTTATGTATTATTCTTTAGGTATTATATCTAAGACATGTTTGCCTTACATTAGGAAAAAAAAATGTTCTCTGCTAGAAATTTTTTAGTTTTAGTTTTTACATTGAGATCTATGACCTATTTTGAATTCATTTTTAAATATAGTGCAAGGTAGGGACTAAAGTTTAAAAAGATAGTTGTCCACATATGTGCAGGCTTATTTCTGGACTCAATTCTATTTCATGTTCTACTTGTTCATCTTTACACAAATACCACACTGTCTTGATTACTATAGCTTTACAAGCAGCCTCAAAATCAGGTCATGTTAATTCTCTAACTTTACTTTTCATTTCATTTTTCATTTCAAAGTAGTTTTGACCAATCTAGGTCCTTTGCATTTCTATACAAATTTTACTATGAACTTGTCAATTTTTATGAAAGGGTCACCTGGGCTTTTGATTGGATGAAAGTATATAATACAGTCATTGGATGGGACTGAATGTATGTATTATATACATATAATAATATATAATTTGGGAGATTTGAAATCTTAATATTGAGTCTTCTGACCAAAAAACATGGTATATCTCAATATTTATGTCTTCTTTAATTACTCTTAGCAATTTTTTCTGTAGTTTTCAGTAGAAATATCTTACATATTTACATAATATACTTACATAAGTATCTGATAGTTTTCAGTGCTACTGTAAATTGTAATTTTTAAATTACAATTTTAGATTACAACTACTAGTATATAGGGAGACATTTGCTATTACCCTTCAACCTTGATTAACTTGCTAATAGTAGAGACTTTATCCACTTATTAGTTAAGGATAACTTGTAGCTTATTAGTTTTTAGTTTCTTTTTTGTAGATTCCATCAGAATCTACAAAAGCCCAAGTGAGGTATAGTCCTATTGAAAAACAATCTACCTGCCCTGCAGCAAACAGAAGGCTTCATCATGGACTTACCAGAGTCTGTTGGAACTTCCCTCCCATCAAGTGGATGGATTAAGGACATTCCCCAAACCAAAAAGTGCTTGTGCCCAAGTAATTGCACTGCAAAAGTGGCACACATACCTGCAACAACGTAGTGTGTACAACTCAAGCCTGCTGTCTGAAGGATTACATGCTCTCCATGGGCCAGTGTCTTATGTAGATCCGGACGTGGCTCCTTAGACATCACCCATCGCTCCCCCTCTCAGCCAAGTCAGAGAGGGAACCAGGACCCCATGCCTCCCTCTGGAGACATGGTTCACCAATGGCAGCAGTTGAGGCAATACCCTCACTAGACATGCTTCAACAGTTTTCCTGGATTCTGACATCACTTGGTTTGAAGGTACTAAGCACAGCAATCATGGATGAACTGAGGGTGGTAAGGATTGTGATCACTCACAAGTCTATGCCCCTTTACATAACCACAGACAGCTGGGCTGTACAGGAGGGTCTGACCATGGATGCCACAATGGCATCAGAAAAGCTTGACTATCTTGAGATGGACCCTGTGGTGAACTGATACAGACAAACTGGGACGTGTGCACACAACCTGGTACCACCATCATGATATGGTATGTCTCGGCACATTCTCTAACTACACTGCCTGAGAATCAAGAATCAGATGCCTTAGCCATGGTGACAGCTGTTCTGGAAGGGTCACAGACTCTCAGATGTGGCAGTGGCTTCATGGGAAGTCAGGACATCGAGGCCTCAGTACCACTTGGGAAGCCAAAAGTTTACACCTGCCTTTAAAATACAGTGACCTACAGGCAGTAGATAGGAACTTCCATCATTGTACCTGCAGTGACAACCCCTGAGACACACCTTTGGTCATATCGGATGAGCTACTAGGCCAGTGACCAGATGGCAAGTGGACGATATTGGCCCCTGCCCTTAACAGAAGGACACAAGAATGCATTGACCTGTGTGGACCCAGCAATTGGGCTGACACAGACTTTTGCCAGTAAAAGGGCAAATCAAGTAACCACTATTAGGGGTTTGACCAAGTTGGAAAGTATTACAATGGAAAGTACTACCCACTTGCATTGAAAGCAACTAAGGGACCCATTTCACTGGACATGACACACAAGAACGGGCTAAAGCCTGCGAGATTTTATGAACCTTTCATCTGTCGTATAACCCCACAGCTGCAGGGTTGGTATTAAGAATGAATGGGTTACTGAAAGAGACATTGAAGGTTTCTCCAGATGGGTCTTTAAGGGGATGACCTCCAAGACTATTAGAGGCCATCTGGCTGTTAAACACTGAGCCCACCACAGGCCACATATCTGCTTGTGAGAGACCGACTACACCTGCTCTGCAAGCTACTGTAAAAGTCTTAGGAGGACTGAGACTCATCCAAAGGGATGCAGGTCTTAAAAGAGTGCCACAGGGGCTTCCCTGGTGGCGCAGTGTTTAAGAGTACGCCTGCCGATGCACGGGACGCAGGTTCGTGCCACGGTCCGGGAAGATCCCACATGCCGCGGAGCGGCTGGATCCGTGAGCCATGGCCGCTGAGCCTGCGCATCCGGAGCCTGTGCTCCGCAACGGGAGAGGCCACAACAGTGAGAGGTCCGCGTACCACAAAAAAAAAACACAGAAAACAGAGTGCCACAGGACCTCCCACTTGGGGAGACTATCTAAGGTTGGAGACTTAAATGATATCCTCCTTCCAAGTGTCTTAGCATCCTTATACCTTGGAGGGAAGGGCTAGTCTGCAGCATACTATCAACATTTCCTCAACCTATCTAAGTGAAGGCCCAGCCATAATCAAGGTGATCTCTCCCACAGAAACCAGATGGGGGACTAAAGTAGGGCTCCCCTTATGGGCTCCTACTTAAGTTCTCGCATATATCTCCCAGCAAACTTCTGAAATAAAGGGACAAAATGTCTGCTATTTTCCTCCAGGAAAAGTGTCAAAACCTGGGGTGATCCTGGCACATGGAGACTGGACTGCTACCTAACCCTAATCACGTAGAGACATTTCTTTTGCATACACCTTCACCTGTTGGTTGACCTCCTTTCCTGGCAAATGGGGAACTGCCCTGTTAGGCATTATTCTTTATCTAGCAGGGATCCTTTGTACTTGGTGTTGTGTATATTGCTGTTGAGGTATAGGCATGCAGGCTACCTCCTGACATCTGGCCCTAGGGTATTTGCAGAAGAATAGTGGATAAGATTGTGCAGGTCATATAGATGTTAGGTATGAAATATGTGGCTGAGCCACACTTACTCCATTTTGTCAGCTTCATCTTAAGCCTGCAGTCCCACCCCCTTCCTTTTCCATGTGGCTGAGCTTTAGCCTAACTCACAAGGAACGTGCCTAAGTCAGATGAGTTCCCTATAAACTTTTACCCGTGCCTCATCTGATATGAAAACTAGAAGAATGCCTTTTACTGATGCAGATGGTTAATGGTCATGAGACCCCCCCCCCAGGGGGAGGAAAAACCGCTGGTTCCAGTTTGTGTGGACATGTTTCTCACTTGGTAGTCAGATTCTATTAAATTTCCCTGTATCCCTTTCGGTGGTACACAGTGCAGCTGCAAATGCCTCTGGATTTTCCGTCCACCCCATCCTTTCTACCTGTAAGTTACCTACAGTAAACTTCATAATTGCATTGTATGGAACTGCCTACTGCGTTTTTTGGTCTCAAAGTTCCTTCTCAGCTCAGAGGATATTATTCAATATCTCCACCTCCCAACACAACACCCATTGTATGTGTGCAATAACATATGGCCACATGTTCTTGCTTCGTTAGTAACTCTTGCTTCTCTATAATCTTTCCATAGTTTACTATTAAGCAACTATCTGGGAGTCACCATCTGCTCCTACATCTATCTCATTATGTCATCCACCTATAGCCTACATGTCTAAACTTTTCTAATTATAACATGGCCATTCCTTTTAAATCTTACTAGCACCACAAAATTTATCAGTACTTTTCAGAAACTGTATACCAGCAGTTGGTTTTTGATATCCCATCTTGCTCTCAAGCCTGACTTATTTCTTCTATCATCGGAGATTTCTTAGTTACCATGGCTGGTCATTCGTTGTATCTCCCGACATTATCTGGGTTAATATAAATAACCTCTGGGTTAACTGGTGCATGAAATGCAGACAAACTTTCTTTCAGTCCATTCGTTACTCAGTCTTAACTCCTGTAATTAGGAGGTAAGAAGAGTGTGGCATCACTCTCATGATGAGATATTAAGACAAATAAAATCCCGAAGTCCTGAGGAGCAAAGAAAAGGGCAATGATTCATTCATACTTCGGTAAACACTAAAAACCAAAAATGTGGACTGTGATCTGAATCAGCTTGAGGCTCTTTTTCTGGGTGTTATCACTTTTAACCAATCTGCGTTTATATTGTTCCTAACATGAAAATCAAAAACATATAAAAAGGATTCTGATCTTATTTTATATACAATTGACAGACTAATAATTCATAAAAGACATTTTTACCAAGTAGCATGTATGATGCTTGCTACAGATGCTTTTAAGTTTAGGGACACTACCTCAACCAGGTGATCAGGATTAGCCTTTTCAGTGATCATTCATGTTGATAGCATATATTTTTAATATGATGAGAATGACATTTTATCTCTGTGGTCTTCCAACAAAAAACTTGTAACAGCAATGCAAATATAGAGCTATCAGAAGCCAAAACTGAGGGATATCCTGCAAAATACTTGACAAGTACTCCTCAAAACTGTCAAGGTAACAAAAACATGGAAGGTCTAAGAAACAGTCATAAACCGGTGGAAGCTAAAGAGACATGACAATTAAATGTGGTATCCTGAATGGGATCTTGGAATACAAACACATTAGGGGAAAAACCAGTGAAATCTGAAAAATTAGTGTTTAGTTAATAATGTATCAATGTTACTGGGTTATGACAAATGTACCAGAGTAATATAAAATGTTAATAATGGGAATTGGGTGAGCAGTATATAGGAACTATCCCTGTAACTTTTCTTTATATCTAGAACTATTTGAAGTTAATTTTAAATTTCTTAAAAAATGCTCCAGGTTAATTTTTTTGTCTATAATTTTCTGAAAAAATCAAGCATGTAGAAAGATATGCTTTTTGACTATTATTTCCCTTTTTGGCATTGTGAAATAAGCTAAAGTTGCATCAAGGTGTCAGAGACTGAGGAGGGGCAAACATATTCTCTTAGTGGCTAGACCTCTCCTGCCACCACGAGTGCTGGTCCAATCTCTTGTGTGCTAGCCCTGGTGGTATGATACAGCACTCATCCAATGGTGGACTCTTGATCCTGGATCTTTTCTTTGACAATGATGCCACTAAGTTAAGTGATAGCAACGCAGTGTCAAAGAAATGTCTATTATCCAATTAATGCTAAAGATATACCATCATTTTCCCTCACAAAGTATTAACATATATGGAATAGAAAATTCAGGGAATAAACTTATTGTCCTCATGCTCAATCTACCAGATAATATTTGCAGAAAGCAACATGCTCATGGTAGAAATTCTTAGTGGTTCAGGTTTTAAAATGAGGATTTCATTTACTTTCTTTTCTGTGCTGACCAAACCATGCAGCTTGAAATGACAGCAGATTGATCAAATATTTTCTTGGCCAAGACTATAGCACATATAATATATTGTTTCCCCAAAAGTGAGTCTGCTTTTCAATACCAGTGCAGTGCATATGACATGGAAGTAGTCCCTATTCTCATTCCAATTCCAAAAATATCAATGGTTTGCAATGCTGCAGTGTGAGCAAGCATCTTGAGATTGGAAAAGCACCCTAGACAGGATGCTCAGGCTACATGCATATAAGAGGACTTGCTTTATAATTACAAAATGAACCACAAGAGTGGCATAAAATGTAGGCCCCCAAACCTTTTAAGAATCAACACCCACCCCTCCCCCTAAACACACAAGAATGCTTGAGAAATCTGATGGATGTCCCAGAAAAACAAGGCCAGACTAATATTCAGACATAGCAGGCAGGCTATATTAGATACATATATATGGCATCAAGCTTTTAGAGCAAAAGACAGAAGGACATAGACTGTCACTCAAAAAAAGGAAAGGGACAGGCCCAGAGCAGGTTTGGCTACTGCCTTCTACTAGAACTCACCAGCAATAATGAATCCTCTGTTACACAGACTCATACAGATGTACCACATAGCTCGGAGACTAGTCAAATATTTATTGGTGTTGTCCACAGAATTCAAGTTATCCCTCCATCTCAAAAACTTCACATTCCATAATGAGTTTGTGTACAGGAAAATATATTCTTACATAGTTTCTATAAAACTTGATATTACATATAAAACACAAATTTTGGTACATCAGTTCTGAGAATTTTATTTTCAATTCTGAAACTCATATATTCCCTCAGAAAAAATTTATCTGAAGCAAACTCAGTAATTGTTAAAAAATGTCATTTATCAAAATATAAGATTTTAGTCTAATCTTAACTATTTGATGTTTAAAGAAGTTTACTCTGCAGAAAAGACTTTTGTGTTTTTCCCTGAGATTTCTGATTTTTATTGAAGCCTTCTGATCATTTAGGATATTGACAGAAGTTTTCTTCCCCATGAAAAATCTCTGATACAAACCTACAGGTTAAATTCTTAAAGGTCTTCTGACATTTATTATATTCATTGGTTTCATCCAACTCAACAGACAGTTGGCTAAGCTATATGCATTTAAACAACAGGCCAAAATATTTAAGAGCTCAACAGAATAAAAACTTAATTCTGGCTTAAAAAAACAACAAAAAAACCCCAAAAAACAATTGGTGAAGATCTGTCAGTGGAGAATTGTTTCACTCAGTTATTGACTCTAGCTTCTTTCACCTTGTGCTCTGCCATATTTAATACACAGCACCCAAGTCTGCCATGGAAATCTCTCAATTCCAGTATAACACAGGATAGGAAGAATGTAAGGTGACTTATTAAGGCCATTTATTACTTAAATGTAATAGCATCATACTCCATGACCAGCCCCACCCAGACGAAGGAAAAATTGGGAAACTAAGACAAGCTATGTGCTCAGTGGAAAAGGAAACAGTTAAGGAAAATAATTTGCCAGTCTATGTGATTTGAGCTTTTCTACTGTGTTAATAAGGTGTAACTTCCCTTAGCACATCCCAAATTCATTACATGCAAGGGTTTTCTCTCTGGAGTGCATTCTGGTGTGATGTACTCTAAGAGCTGCCTTACGGACAAAGGTTTTTCCACATTCATAACATTTGTAGGGTCTCTCACCTGTGTGAATTCTCAGGTGTACTCCAAGAGTTGAATTTTGGGCAAAAGCTTTCCCACATTCATTACACTCATAGGGTTTCTCTCCTGTGTGAATTCTCTGATGTGCACTAAGGTGTGACTTCTGAGAGAAAGTTTTCCCACATTCATTACATTTGTAGGATTTTACACCTGTGTGAATTCTCTGATGTACTCTGAGGGTTGAATTATGGGCAAAAGGTTTCCCACATATGATACATTCGTAAGGTTTCTCCCCTGTGTGAATTCTCTGATGTGCACTAACATACGACTTCTGGGAGAAAGTTTTCCCACATTCATTACATTCATAGGGTTTCTCCCCTGTGCGAGTCCTCAGATGTGCTCTGAGGTGTGATGTCTTGGAGAAAGTTTTCCCACATTCACTACATTCATAGGGTTTCTCCCCTTTGTGAATTCTCTGATGTGCCCTGAGGGCTGAATTATCTGCAAAAGTTTTCCCACATTCCTTACATTCATAAGGTTTCTCCCCTGTGTGAGTTCTCTGATGTGCATAGAGGTGTGTCCTCTGGGAGAAAGTTTTCCCACATTCATTACATTCATAGGGTTTTTCTCCTGTGTGAATTCTTTGATGGACAATGAGGGCTGCCTTATAGACAAAAGTTTTCCCACATTCATTACATTCATAAGGTTTTTCCCCTTTGTGAATTCTCTCATGTCCACTGAGGTATGATTTCTGGGAGAAGGTTTTCCCACATTCACTACATCCATAGGGTTTCTCACCTGTGTGAATCCTCTGATGTGTACTAAGACGTGTCTTCTGGGAAAAAGTTTTCCCACATTCATTACATTTGTAGAGTTTCACCCCAGTGTGAATTTTCTGATGTGCTCTGAGGGTGGAATTATGGGCAAAAGTTTTCTCACAGTCATTACACTCATATGGTTTCTCACCTGTGTGAATTCTCTGATGTGCTCTGCAGGCTGAATTATGGGCAAAAGACCTCTCACAGTCATTAGAATTGAAGGGTTTCTCCTCTGTGTGAATTCTCTGATGTGCTCTGAGGGTTGAATTATCAGCGACAGTTTTCCCACATTCATTACAGTCATACAGATTGACTCCCATATGAGTTCCAGGATAATGAATAGGATGTGAATATGAACAAAAGGATTTCCCACATTCCTCACATTCATAAGGTTTCTCCCCTGGGTGGGTCCTCTGATGCTGAATGAGGTGTGCTTTCTGGTAAAATGATTTCCTGCATTCACTAAGTTCAAATGACTTCTCTCCTGTGTCACACTGCTGATGTACACTGAGGGCTGAGTTCTGATGGGAGGATTTCTCATATTTATCACATTGATAGAATTTCTCTTCTTTGTGAATTCTCTGATGTACTGTAAAGTCTAACTTCCGGTAGAAGGTGTTTGTAAATCCATTATAAACACAGAATGTATCTCTAGTTTGTGTCTTCTGATGTACTATACGGCCTGAGCTCTGGCTCAAGTTTTCTTCACACTTACTGCTTTCAAAGGCACCTTGTCCTGTAACAGTTCTCTGAGGCTGAGTGAGGGGTGAATTCCTACTGAAGTTATTCCCACTTTCATTACATTCATAGTGTGCCAAAGCCATGTGAACCTCATTGTATTCACAGGATTTACCACATTCATTAAGATCAAAGCATTTCTTCCTTGTGCCAGTTCTCATGTGGTTAAAAAGAGCTGCTTTATCACAATTTCCCCTAAATTCATTATCCTTACAGGATTCCTCTCCTTTTACTGAACTCTTAGCTGTAACACAGATGGTCTTATCATGTAAAACTTTTCCATATTCATCACATTCAAAAGATTGCTCCAGAGTTTGAAATTTATGAAGATCTTTCACATAACTGAGAGCTTTCATATTTTCATTATATTTGTAACACTGCTCTCCAGTATGAGTTTTCTCACGCTGAATATCCAGCTGCAACTTCTCACATACATTTATGTAGTCAGTCTTGTTTCGTGAATAATTCCTATCACTAAGAATTAATTCAGAAACAACCGGCAAATTCATTCTACATGAGTCACGTTTAGAGGGCATTTTTCCTGAAAAATCTGGAGTTATACTAAGATAAAATGGTTTCTCTAAAGCTTTCTGCTCTTCTTTACTCAATATTTTGTTATCAGTGAATACTACTTGCCACAGAGGTTTCTCTTGTTTTTCCTGGTTCTCCTCAATATGGACATCAACTCTGTAACATCCTAAAATGAGAAAAATTGAAAACATCTTATGAACCCTACATTTCTTATGGAGAGAAGCTTAAGGTCATATGTTTTGTTATTTATTGTATCTATTGTTTCTAGTCATATTTCCAAAGATTAATAATTCACACACAGAGAAAGACAGACACATACACTCAATCTCTCCTCATCCATGTTATTAAAAAAAAAAAAAAAAAAAAGATATTATTTCCAGTGCTGGCCGAGATGGAGAAGCCTCATTTTTCCAAGGTCCACCCTCTTACAATTAAAATTTCCTGGACAAAAAAAAACATACAAACAAACAAATGAAGATGCTACAAAATGGAACAGAGGTGAACTTTAGAAATGACATGGCAAAGAATTCCAAGGCTTTTCTTTCTGCTTCCGATATATCTTATATGGGGTACTGTTGTGCTGGAGGAGCCTAAAAAACAAAGTCAACAATAGGGGGAGATAATAAGAGCTTCAAGAAAAATCTGTTCCTTCTCAGTCAAACATTTGAGAAAAAGGTGGTCCCACAGAACAGAAAACTTTTTGACAATATTCACCCTACTCAAGCCAAAAAGAAAAAGGAACACTCTTCCCTATGGTTCTGCTACAGATATAAAGGATTCGTACACTCTTCCAAAATTTTCCTCTATGAGCCAAACCAACAGCTCACAAGAAAGATCATGAATTCTGAGAAAGTTCAATTCATGGGACACTCTATGAGATGGTAACAGCAGCCACCACCAAAATTCTGCCTGGAACCATATTCCTACTGACTCTATGGACTCTGCAAAGTCAAGAGTAACAAATCTGTTGTTTTAGGGCACTGGTAGCAACTCATAGCAGGTACACGAAGGAGAGAAGGAAAATAAAGAACAGAAACAAGAAAAGAAGCAGGAATATATGGTAGGCCCAATATTACAGCTAGAAAAGATGAAGTAGGACTTGTAAAAATTACACCCTCAAACTCAAGAATACAGCATAGTTAAAAACAGGTGAATTCACATTATTCTCAAATGTTTATGAAGCATTCATGAAGATAGACCATATTCTGGACTGTAAGACAAATATTCACAAATATAAAAGAAGTCACATAAAGTATAATCTCAAGCCATAGAGAAATCATCATACTAGAAATCAGTAACACAAAATTATCTGGAGAAATACAAAATATTTGTAAATTAATAAGCTTCTAATTAACCCATAGGTCAAAGAGGAAGTCTCACAGAAAATTAAAGTATTTTACATATATGAAAACAAAACTGTCAAAAACATATAGAAATTTGTGGGATGCAGCTAAAGTAGTACTCAGAAATAAATTTATAGCTTAAAATTTTTATATGAGAAAAGAAAGCCCTCCAACAATTACCTAAGCTTCTACTTTAAGAAACTAGACAAAGAGAAGGTGAATCTAAAGAAAGCAAAAGAAAAAATAATAAAGATTAGAGAAAACAATAAAATGGAAAACAACAGAGAAAAATCAATCAAACCAAAGCTTATTAATTTAAACATATTTTTTAATGATAAAAACCAAAAGAAGAAAAAAGACATACATTATCAATATCAGAAAGAATGCAGAAGGGGATATAACTACCGACACAACAGACATTGAAGAGATAATAAAAGATTAAGAGAAACTCTATGCCTATAAATTTGACAACTTACATGAAATAGACAAACGTCTTGAAAAATAAAACAAAACAACTAAACTCACTCAAGAAAAATGAAATAACCCAAATAGATCAGTAATTAAGAAACTGAATATGTGGTCAAAAAAACATATACTTCCAAGAAACAGCTCTAGGATCAGACTGTTTTAACTAGTGAGTACCACCAAACATTTAAATAAGAAATAATACCAATTTTATATAGTCTCTTCTAGAAAATACAAGATGAGGGAATGTTTCCTAAATATTTTGAGGCCTGTACTATCCTCACAGCAAAACCAAACAAAATAATTCAAGAAAAGAAACCTAGTGACCAATATATCCCTAATGACATCAGTGCAAAAGTCCTGAAAAAAAAAAAGTAGACAAAAGAACAGCAATATATAAAAATAATAAATCAGGATCAAGTGACATTCATCCCAAGAATGCAAACTGTTAGCATGTTTTTTAAAAAACCAATCAATATAATCCATTACATTAATCATCTATGGAATTAAAACTACAAAATCATACAAATTCTGGCAAAAAAATTTCACAATATTCAAAATCCATTCATTAACCTAATAAAGGGAATCTATAAAAAGCCTGCAGCTAACATCATACTTAAGAGTGAGAGAGTGAACACTTTAACCCTAAGATTGGGAAAAAGACAAGGGTGTTTACTCTTAGCACTTCTACTCAAACAATGCAATAAGGCAAGAATAAAAATGAAGATACTGAGTAGGTCTACACAGAAAAATCACATGAAGCTCTTTAAAAAAGCTCCTTGAACTAATAAGTTTTGCAAGGGCAAAATATAAAGCCAATATACAAAATCCAATCACATACAAACAATGGTCAATTAAAATGTGAAACCAGGTAAATAACACGATTTACCATAGCACTAAAAAAACAAAGCCCCAAAAAACTTGGTATCTGTATGCTGCAAAAACAGTGATAAAAGAATTCAAAGAAATCCTAAATAAATCCTAAATAAATATGTTGTCTATCAATTGGAAGACTCTATATTGTTAAGATGCCATCTTCATTCTTCCTTAAAACTTTAAGCATCTTATATCTGTTATATATATATGTACTATATATATGCATACATATGTATGCATATGCATACATATGTATATATAAATATACATATTTAACTGTACTTAGTGGATGCAGTAGGAAAGAATACATTTACTCCATCTTTTCCCTGGTTAATGCTTTTCATATCTTATTAATGCCTTCCTTAAACAGAGTCATAAACATGTTTTCCTTATCATATAGAATATTTTTAGTTTTGCTTTGATAATCAGGTTTTTAAGCCACCTTAATGCAGTTTTTTGATTTGATCCATAAGGTTACCTTGGGATTCTTTCTCCACTTTTCTGTGGGGTAGTGCCACCTGTCAAAGACCAGCTGTATATAAAGTACATTTTTTTTCTTGAGCTTTCTCTTCTGTTTCACTAATTTATTAAACTATCCCACTCTCGGGCTCCATAATACTTAACTACCCTGAGATTTACATAAAGCCTTGATATCTGGAAGAGCAAGTCCTTCCCACATCACTCTTCATTATGAATGGGATTTAGTTTGATATTGCATTAAATCTTTACTAATATACCCCCACTTGAACTTATTCAGTTCTTCCTTTCCTTTGTCTTTGTTAGGGTTAGCTAAAGTTTAATCTATTTGATTTTTATTCTAAGAACCATTCTACAATTTCAGTTTTCCAGTTTAATATTTTTGGCTGCGTCGGTTTTTTGTTTTATTTTGCTTAGTTGTGGTATGCGGGATCTTCATTGTGGCATGTGGACTTTCATTGCAGCATGCGGGATATTTCGTTGCAGCATGCGGGGTCTTTGGTTGCAGCATGCGGGATCTTTGGTTGCAGCATGTGGGATCTTTCATTGTGGCATGCGGGTTCTCTCTCTAGTTGTGGCATGTGGGCTCCAGAGCACATGGGCTCTGTAGTTAGTGGCATTCAGGCTCTCTAGCTGAGGTGCGTGGCCTCAGTAGTTGTAGCGCCTGGGCTTAGTTGCCCCATGGCATGTGGGATCTTAGTTCCCCAACCAGGGATTGAACCTGTGTCCCCTGCATTGTAAAGCAGATTCTTTACCACTGGACCACCAGGGAAGTCCCCAGTTTATTAACTTTTAACTTCACTTTTAAGTTCTGTTTTCATTAGTATATTTTTGTTATTGTTTTTGCTTAATTTATTAACATAAATATGAGACTAAAAATTTACCTGTTAACTATTTAGCTATCTCATAAGGTTTCTAACATGTAACATTTATTACTATTTTATAAATGTCATGCAATTTTGCATTTGGTTTTCTTTTATGTACTATTATTTAAACAGATAATTTTTTAAATTTTCATGTCCAAATAATTTTTTTTTTACTCATTTTATCAATTTCTAGATTTATCAAACTATGTAGAGAAAATATTATCTGTGGTGATTTTAACTTGTTCGGTTTATTGGTATTTTCTTTTTAGACTAACTATATTTTCACTATCTTATGATTATATTCTATGGGAAGCTGAAAGACTTGTTATTTGATTTCAGCATACATATACACAAATGTTTCATTTTAATAAAATTATCATTTATATCTTCTATAGGCATACATTTTAATGTCCACAGTATCTTATTATTTAATGAGATATAATATCCTACTCCTAGTGAATTTTAAGTTCTTAGAACTCCATTATTTTGTGTTGGTTTTTTTTTTCTGCGGTACGCAGGCCTCTCACTGCTGTGGCCTCTCCCGCTGTGGAGCACAGGCTCTGGACATGCAGACTCAGTGGCCATGGCTCACGGGCCTAGCCGCTCTGTGGCATGTGGGATCCTCCTGGACCAGGGCACGAACCCGCGTCCCCCTCATCGGCAGGCGGACTCTCAACCACTGCACCACCAGGGAAGCCCCCTATTTTGTGTTTTATGATCACTAATATAGTATTCTTTGGTGCAGTCACTCCAATGCTTAAAGGTTTATTTTAACCTGTGCTCCTGAGCTAGAGGACTTTCTTTTAAGTTAATGTATTTATTGCCTAAATTCAAACTTGAATAATAGAATATGAAACTCTGAATTATTTTTATTGACTGAATAACTTTATCATTTTTTTATTACAATCTTTCTAAGATACTTATTTAGGGACAACTTTTTTAGCCAATCAGTATGATCCAATCATTTACATTTAGTGACTGGGAGATATTCTTCATCTAAATAATGTCAATCATTATGTTATGGCTATTTAAATGGCTTCATAATGGATAAAGAAGATGTGGTACATATATACAATGGAATATTACTCAGCCATAAAAGGAAATGAAATTGAGTTACCTATAGTGAGGTGGATGGACCTAAAGTCTGTCATACAGAGTGAAGTAAGTCAGAAAGAGAAAAACAAATACTGTATGCTAACACATATATATGGAATCTTAAAAAAAAAAAGTTCTAATGAACCTAGGGGCAGGACAGGAATAAAAACGCAGACATAGAGAATGGACTTGAGGACACGGGGAGGGGGAAGGGTAAGCTGGGATGAAGTGAGAGAGTAGCCTTGACATATATGCACTACCAAATGTAAAACAGATAGCTAGTGGGAAGCAGCTGCATCGCACAGGGATATCAACTCAGTGCTTTGTGACCACCTAGAGGGGTGGGATAGGGAGGGTGGGAGGGAGATGCAAGAGGGAGGGGATATGAGGATATATGTATACATATAACTGATTCACTTTGTTGTACAGCAGAAACTAACACAACATTGTAAAGAAAATATACTCCAATAAAGGTGTTAAAAAAAAATGGCTTCACAAACTTTCAATAAATAAACTTTCAATAAATACACTTAAGGTGATTTCATTTTTTTACTCCAGGAATTATTTTGAAATTATAACTTTTGAAATTCCTGGAATTGTTTATTAGTTTAGACAAAGGTCATTAAGCACATGAAAAGATGCTTGACAGAATTAGTGATCACGGAAATTGTTATGGACAATTTGTTCAATATGTTGAAGCCCTAACCCCAATGTAACTGTATTTGGAGATAAGGCCTTTAGGGAGGTAATTAAGGTTAAATGAGTTCATAAGGGTGGGGTCCTAATTCTACAGGACTGGTGTTCTTATAAGAAAAGGAAGAGACATCAGAGCTCTCTCTCTCTCCATGCATGCACAGAGGCAAGGCCATGTGAGGACACAGTGAGAAGGTCATCTGCAAGCCAGGAAGAGAGACCTCACAAAAAAAATCAACCCTATTGCCACCTTGATCTTGTACTTCCAGTCTCCAGAACAGTGAGAAATAAATTTCTTTTGTTTAAGCTATGGTATTTTGTCATGCCAGCCCAGCTGACTAATACAGAATTGCAAATCAAAACCTTAATAACATACCACTTCACATCCATTGGGATGGCTAGAACAAAAATAAGTGTTGGTGGAGATGTGGAGAAATTAGAGCCCTCGCATGCTATCATCAGGAATGAAAAATGGTGCAGCCACTTTAGAAAAGTCTGGCAGTTCTTCAGAGTTACCATATAACCCAGCAATTCTACTCCTAGGTATAAACTCAAGAGAAATAAAAACATATGCCCATGAAAACACTTGTTAATAAATGTTTATATCAGCATTACTCAATAATAGCAAAAAGGCAGGATCCCAAATGTCCACTGACTGATGAATGGACAAACAGATGTGGTATATCCTGACAATGTTATATTATTTTGCCATAAAAAGGATGAAGTACTGACACAAGCTACAACATGAACCTTGTAATGCTAAGTGAAAGAAGCCAATCACAAAATACCATATAATGTGTGATTCCATTTATATGAAATGTCCAGAATAAACAAATCTACAGACAGAAAGTAGATTAGTGGTTGCTAGGGCTGAAGGGGACAGGGAGAGAGGGAGGTCATAGCTGAAGGGTATAGGGTTTCCTTTTGAGGTGAAGAAAACTGACTGTGGTGATGGGTTTTTTTTTTCTTTTTTTTTTTTTTTGCGGTACGCGGGCCTCTCACTGTTGTGGCCTCTCCCGTTGCGGAGCACAGGCTCCGGATGCACAGGCTCAGCGGCCATGGCTCACTCCGCAGCATGTGGGATTTTCCTGGACCAGCGCACAAACCTGTGTCCCCTGCATCGGCAGGCGGACTCTCAAACACTGCGCCACCAGGGAAGCCCTGTGGTGATGTTTATACATATCTGTGAGTCTATTAAGAGCCAGTGAATTGTACACTTTAAATGGGTGGATTGTATGATATATACAATTGTATATTGAACTGTATCTTAGTAAAGCTGTTTAAAAGAAAATAAAATAAACTTTCAAAAGTGGTCCCTTCTAAAGTCTAACTACCCCAGGTACTTCCTTGTGTCAATGCTCACTCACCTGGATACTTCTGGTTTAGGAATTCTTCTTCTGAGGGCCAGGGCTCTTCACCGTGCTCCAACTTGAAGATCACCTGGGGTTTGATAATGCAGTACCCTGCAAATGTAACAACTAAAGCTATATATAGACCAGAACCATGGGCATTTCTGAAGGTGAAGCAAAATGAATGTGCTCATTTGAAGTTTTCAAAGGGAAAGTAATGACACACTGTTTCTGTTTCTGTAAAGGTCTCAGTTACCTTAAACTTCTTAATCAAAACCTGAACAACAATCTCTATAAATGGTTTATGTGTTTTGATAATTTAAAAAAAAAAGAAAATATTCCAGAGGGAGTCACATGGTAAGGTATGCTCACCCAATGAGACGAGGTGGCTGTAGTTCTCCAGCATCACATCTTTGTACAGGGTCCTCAGAGCAGGGCCTACATACTGCCATTCATCCTGGGTGAACTCCACAGTCACATCTTCGAATGACACTGATCCCTGTAACAACAAATTTTGTTCAAAAGTTCAAAATTAGTTGAAAATTATTATTTATCCTGTTTACTTTTAAGGCTTTAAACCAAATCATTATAAAGAATGCTTATTTTTGACCTAGTTTGTCTCTAACTTTGGAGTTACCCAATTTGTTAAAAAGATTTTAGCAATTCATTTTTAACTTAATTCATTTATATATATTTACGAATTACAGATTTTTTTAAGATTAAAAAAACTCAATATAAAGAGACCTCTTACAACTCTTCTTCTATATCCCAAGGGATTATACTGGGTATTCTAGATAATTCTAGAATGTCTATCTCTCTTTGGACATCATCACTGTAAATAATGGGAGACACGTTAGAGATATACATAAGTTGTAGAGATATTAGACATGATAGAATTTATGTATAAATAAATGTATAGAACTCATGAAGAGTGAAGAACAACGTACCAAGGATGGGTGTGAAAGAACACTATCAACACTGAAGTAACAGATATAGGAACAGGGATATAATCAGACAGCAGAAACAGCAACCAATCTGATAACTACTTTCTTGTGTAGCTACCCATCTAGCAGTATGAGCAGCTTCCTTAATGCTGGTTCCAAACACTGATATTTGGGAAATAAAGGGAAAGAAATGTGTTAGAAGTTTTAGTGAGATAGATCTGTTCATGTTGCTACTAAAGGGTCTGTGAAACATAAAGCTGGAACAGTCCCTTAAGCGAGTATACACATAGTTTTAGAACACAGAAGGGAGGTCAAGGATGAAGACAAGCTTTAAGGAACTACTAGCAATTTAGGTGGTAATTGAAGTTATCCAAGGCAATCAGACAACAACTTGAGCACATACAGATTGAGGAAAGAAAAGTATCAAAAAACAGCGTTTGAGAAACCATGAATATTAAAGAGGCTGGCAGAAAAAGTAGAGGTCACAAAGCCAGAGGAGAAGTTTTCTGGAAAGTAATTATGAGAGAACAGAGTCTTAGAAACTGAGAAAAGGGAAAGTTTCCACAGCAAAAGACTTCAAAGAGGCTGGCAGAAGGGGGAAATAGTAAGTAGCTAATTCAATGGGTATGAAGTTTCAGTTATACAAAATCATTAAGTTCTAGAGATCTGCTGTACAACGTTGTGCCTATAGTTAACAATACTGTATTGTACATGTAAAGTGTATTAAAAGGGTTGATCTCAGGCTTCCCTGGTGGTGCAGTGGTTGAGAGTCTGCCTGCTGATGCAGGGGACACGGGTTCGTGTCCCGGTCCGGGAGGATCCCACATGCTGCGGGGCGGCTGGGCCTGTGGGCCATGGCCGCTGAGCCTGCGTGTCCGGAGCGTGTGCTCCACAACGGGAGAGGCTGCGGCAGTGAGAGGCCCGCATATCGCAAAAAAAAGTGTCGATCTCATGTTAAGTGTTCTTATCACAATTAAAAATAGGAAGAGGGCTTCCCTGGTGGCGCAGTGGTTGAGAGTCTGCCTGCCGATGCAGGGGACACGGGTTTGTGCCCCGGTCCGGGAGGATCCCACATGCTGCGGAGCGGCTAGGCCCGTGAGCCATGGCCGCTGACCCTGCGCGTCCGGAGCCTGTGCTCCACAGCGGGAGAGGCCACAGCAGTGAGGGGCCCGCGTACCGCAAAAAAAAAAAAAAGGAAGAAACAGAACTAGATTAAGAGGTAAAAGGACAGAAATAGCCTTTCCCCAGTGTTATTTATGCAATTATTTGTTCATTCATGTCTTCAGTGTTACTTAGTAGTTACCTCCTGTGTGAAGCTCAGTGTTAGCAGTTGGTAACTATCAATAAAATAAATGAATAAAAGAACAGAAACACTTCTCATAAATTTTTTTTAATCTAAAAGAAAAATAAAGACAAGTTAACTGTATTTCCCAAAATGAAAAAAATTAATGAGAAAAGTGTCACTGTCTTCATTTTTGCCAATCTCTTTAATATCTGAGGGAGGGAGAGAGGGAGGGAGGGAGAGACATCTTTCGCTCCCTCCATCACTCTCTCCCTCTCTCCCTCTCCCTCCCTCTCCCTCTCCCTCCATCTCTCCCTCTTCCTCTCTCCCTCTGCCTTATCTCTGCCTCTCTGCCTCGAAGACGAATTAAAAAATAAAACTCAGCTGAATTAAAAAAAATAAGCTAACAAGTGACATAAGTGAAAATGATGAAGTGGGATCCAAGAAAATTTTCTCCTCCATAAAAGCAATGAAAAAAATGGCAAAAATTGTAGAAGTTAATAAAGGCAATCTACGGATCATTTATACAAAGGGAAAAAAAGGCTGAAGCACACTAAGAAAGTGATATTGTGTCCTTCTAACTTACCCTGTTTCCATTCCTCTCTCGCCACCTCTGAAGTAGTTTAAGAACCAACAGTCTGCAATCACAGTTAAAATTAGCAGCCTGGCAACCACAGGAGCAGAACTGGGTTGGAGTTCTGTCAAAGCCTCACTCCAAGAAAACTCATTACTTGCTTCTGTTTGGAGGTTCCCTGAAAGACCTCACTTGCAAGTATGTCTTTATTTGAGCTAACTCAGAGCTCACATAGTATGAAAAGTCTTATCTCAGAGGCATTTGTCAAAAACATTTAAAGGCATTTGTTTAACTTAGTGGCTACCTGAGGCAGTGTTTAACAGTTGGGGCAACCAATGGCCTAATCAAAAAGCTTAAAAGGAAAAGCTAAGGAATGAGATGTCTATAAAGGTTCTGAAAAACTCCCATATATTCCTGAGAATCTAAAAGGGCACATACATGCACAGAACTGTGCATATGCCCAGGGCTATGAGCATGCTCCAGAAAGATGTGAGAAGGCCCTAAGCTCTCACCTCTAGGTAATCTTGAGGTTTGGTGTAAGAAGGAAGTGAAGGCTGATACAGAGTTGTAAACTGCCTGTCTGACTGTTGAAAGAATGCCCCAACATGCACAGAGCCCCTTAGCAAAAACTGGGAGACCTCCTGGTTCCAGGCATTTAAGGAATTTCTATAGAGACTTCAACAGCCACAGATGACAAGAAATACAGGCTGTACATAATTAGCTCACAAAAGTCACTAAGCAAATACATTTCAACAATGACCACAATGGAGGGGAGAAACTCAGATTCCTGAGGTTGCTATTTTATTTAAAATGTCCAATTATCAATACAATAAGAAAGTAAGACACATATGCAGGAAAAAGTGTAATCAATAGAAACTGCTCCTGAGGAAGATGTTAGACTTACTAGGCAATGACTTTAAATTAGCTATTTTAAATATGGCCAAAGACCTAGTAAAGGAAATAATGTCTAAGGACCAAAGGAAAAGTATGTGAACTATATTTCACTACTTAAAGAATATCAGTAAAGAAACAGAAATGATAAATAAAAAAGACTAAACCGAAGCTGAAGAGTTGAAAAGTATAAAAACTGAAACAAAACTTTCACTAGAAGGGTTCAACAGAAGATCTGAGCAGGTGAAAGTAAGTATGAACAAACTGGACAATATGCCTATTGAAATTCTACAATATGAGAAACAAAGATAAAATAATGACAAAAAATAAACTATGGGGTAGCATCAAGTTTACAAACATATGCATAATGAGAGTCCCAGACAGAGAGGAGAGAAAAAGTCTGAAAGAACACTTGAAAAAAATATTGACCAAGAAGTCTCCAAATCTGATGAAAAACAATAATCTACATATCCAAGACACTCAACAAACTCCAAGCAGTATAAACCTCGAGTAAGAGATCCACACCTGGACACAGGATAATCAAACTGTCAAAAAGACAAGAACTCAATATTGAAAAGCATTAAGAAAGAAGTGACTCATCATGTACAAGAGTAGTAAAAGCTGATTACTAATCAGAATCCATGGATGACAGAAGGCAGTGGTATGACATATTCAAAGTGCTGAAAGAAAAAGGTTGTCAACCAAGAATTCTACACCCAGCAAAAATGGAAAAATTAAAACTTTCCTAGATAAGAAAAACCAGAATTTGTCACAGACAAAACGGCCCTATAAGAAATAATACAGGAAGTCATTGAGCAAATCTGTAGAGACAGAAAGTAAGTTAGTGGTTGCTTGTGGCCTGGGGGTAAGGGGTGTAATGGGATTACAGGAGGGGGATAGTTGTATGTAGTGTATATACACTATAGTGTATACAGTTGCTTTTTAAGGTAATGGAAATGTCCTAAAACTGATTGTGATGTGTGCACACATCTGTGAGCATACTAAAAAAATGAGTTTTTTTATACTTTAAATAAGGGTGAATTGTATGGTATATGATTTGAATCTCAATTAAGCTGTTTTTTTAAAAAAATGAGAGAGGATGAAATCATTCTGAGACAAAAGAGAAGATTAAAGGGCCAAGCATGGAAATGGGATAAGCCATGTAAAAGGACATGGAAAACAAGATGACTCCATGAAGACATTAGCAGGGGAAGGAAAGAGCCAGTGGAGGGTGTCAGACACTAACAGAGAAACTTTCCAGAATGATAATGTGAGAAGTAGATGCAAGCACTACAGAGAAGTCCAACGGAAATGATTAGACAAAACTCAATGGATTTGATTATAATCAAGTGTCTGGTCACTGGAGATCACAGGCAAGTGGTGAGAGGAACCAAGGCATCATGCAGAGAATTGAAGTGTGAATGGGAAGCGCTGAAACATTTGAAAGAGAACAGAATTTTAAACTGTCTGCTGAAAAAGCTGAATATCATGGGTACTTGAGATATTTATGGAGAGTAAATTTAAGAATATTCAGTTGATTCATCAGAAAAATGTCTAATTCAACCCATGTCTGAGTTTCTAAAAAAACAGTACTAACCGAGTCCTCATTTAGCTTTATGCCTTCTACTTTTATTGAAGAACATGTGAAGGCAACATTCTATCAATCCTAGGGTTATCACCAGGAAGCTGTTAACTAAGTCACCTATTTGAAGAATAACAAAGATATGTTTTTATCTTCGACTGTCTTTACTTTCTATGAGGAATCAGTTGGCTTTATCTTCCCACCAATGTGAACCTTTAAAGAAGTGTTGTCTATCTGACACTCTGACATGGCTACCAAAAACCTCAGAAATAAATTTGGAGCTCCAATTTGATAAATTTGTAATATCAGAGGATCTGCTTATATCCAATACCACCTTTGCTCTTTGCTTTGTTATGCATCTGTACAGCTGACTCTTGAACAACTCGGTGGTTAGGGGCACCTGCACTCTGCAGAGTTGAAAATCTGCATATAACTTATAGTCAGTCCTCTGTATACACAGTTTCTCCTTATCTGCGGTTCCACCTCCCTGGATTCAACCAACTACAGATCGTGTAGTACCATAGTTTATCGTTAAAAACAAAAAAAAACAATCCACATATAACTGGATCTGTGCAGTTCAAATCTGTGTTGTTCAAGGGTCAACTGTATTTCTACACGTTCCCTGAATACATCTGATTCATTTCTATTTCTACTTTTCCATGTTAATGTATAGACACTTAAACCCTTATAAAATCCAATGCAAAACAAACAGGTTATTAAAACTGAACTCACCTGAGCTATGTTCATTTTCTACTGCTTCTGGAAAAATGTAAAGAACTGTGAAGGTTCAGCTGGGGAAGAGGAAAAAGAAACAGGGTCATGAAAAACCTACTCTGCCTTACAACTCCTATATTCATCTGCCTAACAATCTCATAACACCAGCCGGAGAAAAGGCTTCCCCATGGGAGAATGTTCCTTTCAACATTCTTGAGAAGGGACATGAAAGACCATACGAAGGTAGCACCACCTGAACATGTGCATCTCTGATATGATTATGCTGGTCTTAACCTTGCATTTTCACTGAGTAAGGTAAACTGCTTTTTATCAATGAATTAACAATTTATATTCCCTTCTAATAATAAACAACAATAAAAACAACAACAACAAAAGTAAAACAACAGAGGATTGGTTAAACAAATTCAGGTACACCAGGGGTGACATCCTCTACCTTCATTAAAAATAATGTTGTCAGGCTTCCCTGGTGGCACAGTGGTTGAGAGTCTGCCTGCCGATGCAGGGGACACAGGTTCGTGCCCCGGTCCGGGAGGGTCCCACATGCTGCGGAACGGCTGGGCCCATGAGCCATGGCTGCTGAGCCTGCACGTCCGGAGCCTGTGCTCCACAACGGGAGAGGTCACAGCAGTAAGAGGCCCATGTACCGCAAAAAAAAAAATAATAATAATAATGTTGTCAAAAAACTACTCAGGCTGGATTGTTAATCAAGTTCTTGTTGAGTTTACAACTTGAGTTAGAGCTGAAATAAAGATGGAATGCTCTATGCAAGAAATATGTTTTTTAATGCTTTGTTCTAAAATAGTTACTATTTCTAAAAAAAAAGATATTTTGATAAGATGCTTATAGTACTTACCTGTGTAAGTAAATATCATTGTGCTTGGTTCTGCCCTGGTGACTCTACAAAAAACATTCATTTCAGTATTTTGGGGCTTCCAAAAGTGTCCAATATAGAAAACCTTCTTCTACTACCATTTTATTATTCTCTATGTTCAAATACATAGAAAAAATTCTCTATGTTAACGTCCATCACCAAATGTGGCATCTAATGCTCATGGTGTGAGAGCAGCTCAGAATCTGAAAAGAGTGAGGGGAAAATGAAGGAAATGGGGTGCTGTTTAGGATTTCATCAACTCTGGCTGCTTATACCTTCCCTGGACATCATGTCCTTACCAGCCATCCAGTAAAGTGCCTTTTCCTGTGTAGCTTGACAGTCACCCATACCTCTCAATCCCAGGTTACCACCTTCTGCAAGTTGGTCCACAAGTGTCCACTGTCACAGTCTGTGATGGCTTCTAGATGCAACAACATCATCAAGTCTGACTGACCAAATCTGACTCATGCTATACAAGGATCAAGAACTGCTTCTGGTGGAGCAACTCAGAACCCTCTCCTTTCTAGAACTTTTTGCCTCTGCTCTGAAGCTCTGTCAGAAGAGCTGTTCTTCCAAGTGGCATTTGTTCTTTCCTGCTTTAAAAGAGCTACTTTGCCCCAAAGGGGCCAGAGAAACAAATTCACTTTATTTGAAACCTTCACCTAACACTCAAAATCTCTTTGGGCATTCACTAGAAATGTACTATCTAGTATGGAGCCATTAGCTGCGTTCAACTACTACACCCGAAGTGTGGCTAGTGACACAAGTCTAAATAATAATTTGGATGTACTTAATTAAATACACCAGTAAAATTAACTTCACCTTTTTAATTTTTACTGCTACTACTGAAAAAAATTTAATTACATTTGGTTTGCATTATCTTTCTACTGGCCAGCACTGCGTTACATTATCAGACTATTCTTTTGAGAATGGAAACAGCCTGGACAGTTCAGTAAGGTTCAAGGGCCTCACTCTGAGAATCCACAAATCCCAGTATATATTTCCCACATGGCGACATTCTGTCTGCATTCACTTCACAATCATGTCCCTGGGAATTTGAGGACAGGCTGCCAGGAGCTACTCCGTAGGTTGCAATTCTGGGTCTGAGGCAGGGAGGATATCAGAAGGAGCAAGAGATAGGGAGTAAAATCTATTTGTATTTGCATCCTAACTCTCACCTACCAGCTTGTATCCTGGGCTATATCATTCCGCACACACTAAATTCCTTTCATTTTTAAAAAATGGAGTGTTTATAAAGACAAGTAGACTTGTTGTGAGGGTTAAACGAAATACCAGACAAAGGAAACAAAGTGTCTTATGATAACAGCTTACACAGTGATTATTACAATCACTTGACAAAATGTTTTGTAGATGACACCTTATTTAATTCTCAGAATAACTGCACAAGCTACTATTAGTAGCCTCCTGTTCATCGTGAACGTTATAAAGTTGCATTCTCCGCCCGCGCCTGGCCGGCACCAAACACCTCCTCTAGACAAGGACTCAGCCTCACCTGCACTCCTGGAGCAGGCAGGGCCGGACCTGCCCGGGCTAGCGGGCTGGGGGAGGGGCGGGCCCGCCTAGAGGTTCCCGGGACTTCCCGCTCCCGTCCCCCGCACACAAGCCTACCGGACCCAGCAGGACCCCAAGCCGCGCGGAACCGGACCCCGTGCTCTCACCTCCAGTGGGCAGCCTTGGCTTCAGCACCGACCCAAAGACGGGAAGATCTCGCTCCTTTTAGGCCGGAGAGGTCGTACGGCAGCAGGCGGGTCGGGACGTGCACATGCGCAGAGTGAGCTCTGAAAACCCATTCCCTGAGGCCTGAGATGTGGGCCCATAACATTCAAGACTACATTTCCCATAAGTCTTTGAGAGCGTAGGAAGTAATTTTTGAAGCATTTCCGCTTGGTTAGTAAACTGAAAGTCTTAATGTTTGGAGCTGATTCGTGGCGACTTTGCCTGAATTCGCAGTGGTATGAGTTAGACTTTAACTTTATGACATAACAACATATTGCAGTGTGGTGTTCCATCGGATCTTGGTTGGAAAAAAATAACAGTGCAATAGACAACAATTTGGGAAATATAAATATGGACTAGGTATAAGAAATATTAAGGAAAATTAACATTACTTTGGTAAGTGTGACAATATTTGGACGATGTAGGAAATTGCTCTTATTTTTTAAAGATACATACTGAAATATTTACAATTATGAAATCATGTATTTGTAATTTACTTTTGAAAAATTTATCAAAACAGTTTGAGGAAACAAATATGGCAAAAGGTTAAGAATCGTTAAATCTGTGTACATGATGCTCATTTTACTATTTCTATTATTCTGAATGTTTGAATTTCTTTTTAACATACCGTAAAAGACGTGTGGCTAGGGCTGGGAACCTTGGGGAGGAGGGTTAGGGAGAATTTACTGCCCCTCCAGAAGTGTACCTTTTAAAATCAAGCTGCCAGGAGCATTGAAGTTACACACAACTATCTGTTATGAATACGACTGTGAAATAGAACAAATATTAGAAAATGGAGCCAGTATTAACATAAAAGAGTAAATTCTGTGATCAGCAGCAGGGAGGAGGAGGGAGTAAGCTAGTTGTTCAAAATTATACAAGTAATACTTGAAAGTATGTACAACCCAAAATGAGGAAATCATTATCAATTAATAATTGTGATCAATTACTAATCTGGCTTGTATAGTGGAAATTATGTTCAGCTTTATAAAACTGCCAAACTATCTTCCAAAAGTGGGTGTATCATTTTGCATTCTCACCAGCAATGAATGAAACTTCTCTTGCTCCATATCCTCACCAGCAGTAGGTGTTGTCAGTGTTTTGGCCGTTGTACATTCTAATAGGAGTGTAGTGATATATCATAATTTGCAATTCTGTAATAACATCTGATGCTGGGATTCTTTTTATATGCCTATTTGCCATAAGTGGATCTTCCTTTGTGAAGATATTACATTTGAATAGTTATTTGTATATTTTACATAAAATTTCTTTAGTAGATCTGTCTTTTGCAAATATTTTCTCTCAGTCTGTGACTTGTCTTTCCATTCTCTCACAGAGCAGAAGTTTTTAACTTTGATGAATTCAAACGATTCATTCATGGTTTGTGCTTTTGATGTTATCTAAAATTTCATTGCCAAGCTCAGGGTTACCTAGACATTTTATTCTGTGTTATCTTCTAAAAGTTTTATAGTTTTGCATTTTAGTTTTAAATTTATCATCCATTTTGAGTTAATATTTGTGAAAAGTATAAGGTCTGTGTCTACATTTATTTATTTTTGCACATGAATGTCTAATTGTTCTAGCACATTTGTTGAAAAGACTATCTTTTCTTCATTGAATTGTCTTTGCTTCTTTGTCAAAGCTTGGTCGATAATATTTGTGTGAATATATTTCTGGGCTCTCTATTCAGCTTTAATAATCTTTCTGTTGATTCTTTCTCCTGTATCACACTGGTTTGACCCTGTAGCTTTATAATAATTTTTGAAGTCAGGTATTGTCAGTTCTATGACTTTGTTCTTAAATATTGAGTTGGCTATTCTGGATCTTTTCCATTTCAATGTAAACTTTAGAATCAAGTTTTTGGTGTCTACAACATAAGTTGCTGTGATTCTGACTGAAATTGAGTTGAAATTATTGATCAAGTTAGTTGGAACTGACTTCTTAACAATATTGAAACTTACAAGGGGACCTTCAAGGTGGCAGAGGAGTAAGACGTTTAGATCACCTTCCTCCCCACGAATACATCAAAAATACATCTAGATTTGGAACAACTTCTACAGAACACCTACTGCATGCTGGCAGACGACCTCAGACTTCCCAAAAGGCAGGAAAATCCCCACGTACCTAGGTAGGGCAAAAGAAAAAAGAAAAAACAGAGACAAAAGAATAGAGACAGGACCTGCACCTCTGGGAGGGAACTGTGAAGGAGGAAAAGTTTCCACACACTAGGAAGCCCCTTCACTGGCAGGGACGGGGATGGGGGGGCAGGGGGAAAGCTTCAGAGCCATGGAGGAGAGTGCAGCAATAGGGGTGCAGAGGGCAAAGCAGAGATATTCCTGCACAGAGGATCAGTGCCAACCAGCATTCACCAGCCTGAGAGGCTTGTCTGCTCACCCACCGGGGGGGGGGGTGGCTGGGAGCTGAGGCTTGGGCTTTGGAGGTCAAACCTGAGGGAGAGGACTGGGGTTGGCTGCATGAACAGAGCCTGAAGGGGGCTAGTGCACCACAGCTAGCCAGGAGGGAGTACAGGAAAAAGTCTAGACCTGCCTAAGGGGCAAGAGACCATTGTTTCAGGGTGCATGAGGAAAGGGGATTCCTTCCCTGTGTGCCCACAAAAGACAGAGAACTGCCTAAATGAGCTCCAGAGATGGGCACAAGCTGTGGCTATCAGCTTGGACCCCAGACACTGGCATGAAATGCTAACACTGCTGCTGCAGCCACCAAGAATCCTGTGTGCAAGCACAGGTCACTATCCACACCACCCTGGGTGGCTGTGCAGCACACCACTGCCAGGGCCCCATGATCCAGGGACAAGTACCCCAGGAGAACACACGGTGTGCCTCAGACTGTTGCAATGTCATGTTGGCCTCTGCCGCCGCAGGCTCACCCCACATTCTAATTATAACTACCGTACCCCTCCCCCCCCAACATGAGTGACCCAGAGCCCCCTAATCAGCCTCTGCTTTAACCCCATCCTGTCTGGGCGGGAACAAATGCCTGAGGGCAACCTACATGCAGAGGTGGGACCAAAACCAAAGCTAAGCCCCAAGAGCTCTGCAAACAAGAGAAAAGGAAATTTCTCCATGCAGCCTCAGGAGCAGCAGATTAAATCCCCGCAATCAACTTGATGTACCCTGCATCTATGGAATACCTGAATAGACAATGAATCATCCCAAAACTTAGGCAGTGGACTTTGGGAGCAACTGTAGACTTGGGGTTTGCTTTCTGTGACTGATTTGCTTCTGATTTTTAGGTTTCTCTTAGTATAGATTTTAGCACTTGTTATCTTTGGTGGATTTGTTTATTAGTTTGGTTGCTCTCTTCCTTCTCTTTTTCTTTCCTTTTTAAATATTTTTTTATTTTAATAATTTAAAAAATATATTATTATTATTACCTTTTTTCTCCCTTTTTTTCTGAGCTGTGTGGCTGACAGGGTCTTGGTGCTCTGGCCTGATACTCTGAAGTGAGAGAGCTGAGTTCAGGACGTTGGACTACCAGAGACCTCCCAGCCCCACGTAATATCAATCAGCAAGAGCTCTCCCAGAGATCTCCATCTCAGTACTAAGACCCAGCTCCACCCAACGACCAGCAAGCCCCAGTGCTGGACGCCCCATGCCAAACAACTAGAAAGACAGGAACACAATTCCATCCATTAGCAGAGAGGCTTCCTATAATCGTACTAAGTTCACAGACACCCCAAAACACACCATCAGACGCGGCCCTGCACACGAGAAAGAAAACATCCAACCCCACTCACCAGAACACAGGCACCACTCCCCTCCACCAGGAAGCCTACACAAGCAACTGAACTAACCTTACCCACTGGGGGCAGACACAAAAAACAATGGGAAATATGAACTTGCAGCCTGCAAAAAGGAAATCCCAAACACAGTAAGTTAAACAAAATGAGAAGACAGAGAAATATGCAGCAGGTGAAGGAGCAAGTTAAAAACCCACCAGACCAAACAAATGAAGAGGAAATAGGCAGTTTACCTGAGAAAGAATTCAGAATGATTATAGTAAATATGATCCAAAATCTTGGAAATAGAATGGAGAAAATATAAGAAACGTTTAACAAGGACCCAGGAAAACTAAAGAGCAAACAATGATGAACAACACAATAAATGAACTTAAAAAGTCTCTAGAGAGAATTAATAGCAGAATAACTGAAGCAGAAGAACAGATAAGTGACCTGGAAGATAAAATAGTGGAAATAAGTGCTGCAGAGCAGAATAAAGAAAAAAGAATGAAAAGAATTGAGGACAGTCTCAGAGACCTCTGGGACAACATTAAATGCACCAACATTCACATTATAGGGGTCCCAGAAGAAGAAGAGGAAAAGAAAGAAACTGAGAAAATATTTGAAGAGATTATAGTTGAAAACTTCCCTAATATGGGAAAGGAAATAGTCAATCAAGTCCAGGAAGTGCAGAGAGTCCCATACAGGATAAATTCAAGGAGAAACATGCCAAGACACATATTAGTCAAACTATCAAAAATTAAATACAAAGAAAAAATATTAAAAGCAGCAAGGGAAAAACAACAAATAACATACAAGGGAATCCCCATAAGGTTAAGGACTGATCTTTCAGCAGAAACTCTGCAAGCCAGAGGGAGCAGCAGGACATATTTAAAGCGATGAAAGGGAAAAACCTACAACCAAGATTACCCAGTAAGGATCACATTCAGATTCAATGGAGAAATTAAAACCTTTACAGACAAGCAAAAGCTAAGAGAAGTCAGCACCACTGAACCAGCTTTACAACAAATGCTAAAGGAACTTTTCTAGGCAGGAAACACAAGAGAAGGAAATGACCTACAAAAACAAACCCAAAACAATTAAGAAAATGGTAATAGGAACATACATATCGATAATTACCTTAAATGTAAAAGGATTAAGTGCTCCAACCAAAAGACACAGGCTAACTGAAAAGATACAAAAACAACACCTGTATATATGCTGTCTAAAAGTGACCCACTTCAGACCTATGGACACATACAGACTGAAACAGAGGGGATGGAAAAAGATATTCCATGCATATGGAAATCAAAATAAAGCTGGAGTAGCAATTCTCATATCAAA